ATTTATAGAAAAATGTCAGATATCAAATCCTAAGCATGAGGTGTTAAATAATTTTACGGCATATTTTCGAGAATTTGAGCTTCTGACTTTACGAGATGTTCTATTAATTTTAAATTCTTGTGAGAAGTATTATTGGATCAGCATAAAAAGCATGTTAAAATGTTGTTTAATAATTTTGTTAATTAGAAAATTAAAATTATAACTTATAAGGAAAGTTATTAGGTGTATTTTGGACCTTATGTGATTCATCCAAGAAACAAGGTTAAAATGAAGGAGAATACAATCAATGTCCCACCAAAAATCAATTTATACAACTAAATTTTATGTACAAATATAAATTTAAATCTTAAATTTTTTATTAATTTTATTAAATAAATTAGATTTATAAACGATCATAAATAAATCAATTTAGATAATTTATTTCAAATAATCAATCATTTTTAAATGGATGAATTTAAATTTTCAAACAAAACTACTCGGCTAATAAAATTTAATAAACTAAATTTTTTCTATAGATTGATATATTAATAATAATAAAAAATCATAGTTTTTAGTACATTAATACTTCATTTTATTGAATAAGATATTTTTCTCTATTATTACACCATCATTCATCTATAAATTATGTATATATAATTAATTAAAAAAAAAAGAGCTGGTTGAATGTCTTTCTAATCTAAATAATTTTACCAGATTTATTTAAAGTGGTGGACCCCACACTATTAATTAAGCCAAAAGAAAAAGAAAATAAAAGGAAAAAGAAAAAAAAAAGGAAAAAGAAAAACCCATTATTTTTCAATAAAGAAAAAAGCATTGTTAATTTTACCTATTAAAGCAACAAATAGAGATTAGAACGCTAAATGGAGTGTTATTAAAGGAAAGTTTAAAAGTAACTTGAAATTATTTATGTAGAAATAAATATATAATAATAATAATAAGAATGAGTATAAAGTTAAATCACATGAAAAAAAAAACTTAAAAATTTTCATTTTTATAAATATTTTAAAATTATTATTAAAATAGAAATACACGAAAATATTAGATAATAATTTAGAACGACACGATCGTGACTATGCTTATTTGAAGTAAATTTGAAATGACTATGTTAAAACGTGTGGATTAATTATACAGTAATGTAATAATTTTTTAATAAAAGGGTAAATTAAAAAATATTCCATTATAATTGAGCTAAAATGTAAACAAATAAAATAATAATAATAAAAAAATGCGGGGAGTTTGAAAGTCATAGTGGGACAGTCGTGTATACGTAGGCAACCGGTCCCGTGTCGGTGGCCTCGATTTCAGATATAAAATCGACGGCCGATTTGGTTCTCTATAATTGGCGCTTCCCGTTTTCAATTTGTTTCCCTTCAACCTTATTTCATCTTCCATTTCGTTGCTCTGTTTCTCTCTCTCTCTCTCGCTCTGCAATCTCTCTAGCCAAGAGCACTGGAAGAACCGGGAGTGAAAGGAGAGGGGCAGTTCTGGCCGGACTAAGTACCATAGCCGTTCGACTCGGCGGCTGTGGAGGCGGATTTTGGTACCGGAGGAAAAAGAAGAGGCGGAGCCAGAGCAGGACCAAAGTTAAGCTTCGGTTTATGGAGCTTTGGCATAAGATGGTTTTCCCTGTCCGACGAGTTTGGCTCGCTGTTTCCGCTCGAGTTAGGGCTCGGAAGAACGGTTAGTTTGTTAATACTCTTCTTCTTTCGCTTTCGATTTTAATTTTTCTCGAATCGGAGTTTGATTATGGCTTAATTTGATCTAATGTGATGATCTCGACTGCTTGATTTGCTTCCGATTGATGGAATTGCTGAATTTCTGTTTCTCTATGGTTTCTGATTTTTCTTCTTCCACTTATTGTTTCGATACTGCCATTTGGATTTGAAAACTGCATAGGAATTTGTTTGAATCATCATTTACAGTTAAAATTCCTGCATAATATTATGGTATGCGATTAAAAGGGGAAAAAATCTCGTTCTCGATTAATGGTAAAATAAATTTGAAAAAGACGAAAGGAGCCACCAAGTGAACCGAAAGGTGAAATACGGTTCATAGTACTAATTTCTTAATCTTCTCCTCTTTCTTTATTAGCTTTATCGCTTTAAATAGGTTATATGTTATGCCTTGATCTGTATGCAATGGTTATTAGCCACTTAATCTCCACCACTATGATAGCGAGAGAGAGATAAAGAGAGTTGATGTTATAAGGCAATTGTAAATGGCCATGTGATTATTCAACCTATCCAGTACAATAATTTGGTAGGAAAAATCACAAGGAACGTTCCATAGACATTGGCCCATCTATTCTTACTTTTTGAAAGTGACTCTACATGTATCTATTAGGTAATAACTTAAAAGCGCAACGTTAATAGATATTGTCCGTTTTAACTCGTTACGGGTCGCTACCAGCTTTACAGTTTTAAAACGTGTTTGGCTGATTACGATACGTTTCGGGCCAAAGTGGATAATATTTGCTAGCGGTGGGCTTGAACTGTTACAAATGGTATTAGAGTCAAGCGCCGAGTAGTGTGCTAGTGAGGATGTTGGCCCCCAAGGGAGGTGGATTGTAAGATCTCACATTGGTTGGAGAGGAGAACAAAATATTTATTGTAAAGAATATGGAAACCTCTCCCGCGTTTTGAATCCACAGACCAAAAGACAATATCTACGGGCTGTGGGCTTGAACTTACCCTATATTGCTAAAAATATCACCAAAAGTGATTTTGAATATGAAATCCCTTTAATTTTAGGAATTTTAGTTTATGAGCGGAGATGTTTCTATCTTTAAACCACACTTTCATTCTAGGGAATTCAATTTCTAGACCGATGTCTTGTTTTATACTCAAACTACTCGTTTTAATTTTCTTATTAACAATGAGATTCAAATCTCTGATCTCTCGCGGAATTGATAATTTTATTTTTGAATGTGTATTATATTTTTGGGGACACTTCCCCATTTAATAATGCACAAATAGGTCCCCACTTGCAGCAATGCAGTTGAAGACAGAGCGAAAGATTAAAGGCACCTTTATGCTTAAAGTTTTTTTTCTTATAACAGTTTTGATTGTCTTGTTGTGATTCTTAACAGTCATCTGTCCCACTTGAGACTAACGACGGTCTCCAAATGCGCATTAGTTTTCAACTAGTGGCCTCCCATTTTGATTTGGTTTTGTCCTCTATTACTATTCTAACCATAACTCCAACAGGCCTGCCTGTCTCTACTCTTTTTAGTATTGTCCAAGTCGCACCACAAATTTCCTCTACCCTCTTAACATATATATATATATATATATATATATATATGTATAGAGAGAGAGAGAGAGAGAGAGATGAGGTGGGGTGGAGTTAGGTCAGTCCTGTCCCTTTAAAAGGAGTGGGCTCAAATTAGGCCCATTCAAGTCTGAATTGGTTGTTGGGTGGCCCCATCCCTCAAGGAATCTTTCATAATATGAACTGAACCAATCTTTCATCCATAAGATTGCTCTGTAGAAATCTAAGCTAAGCTAAGCAATGATGTGAACTTTTGTGCTAACAGGAGGTGGGCTTTTGAAGAAGCTCCATGATGATGTAGAAACCTGTGGATATGAAGATGTGAAGGTGATGTGGGAAATGTTGCGTCGATCGGAGTCGGAGCTGCTCGGTCAACCAAAACGCAAGCAGCGCCTATTCTGGAGAGTTTCTGTGTGGTCCAACCATGCTGCTGCTGCTGCTGCTGCACCCTCCTGTTACTCTGCAACTCATGCTTCATGAGCCCATCAAATCAACAACTCTACTCTCACTTCAGCTCAGCTCAGCTTAACAGCCAATGCTCGCAATGGCACAGAACTCTTTACCAAACTTGTTCAAAGAAATGTGAAGTCTTTGCACACGCAGTTAATCTCTTCCACTTTGAGCAGAAAAAACACCCTTTTGTAAGTATTAATAATTTTTTTTGGTTTGTAGCTAAGAATCGTTTGTGAATCATCGATGATGCTGGATTGGATGCATCTCCATGAAAATCAATCGAAAACCAATCATAAATTCAACCTTAATTGAACTTTATAATGTTAAATTTTTCGATGTTTTTCAATACGTGGAGGAGATCCAAACATCCTATCGATTTCTTTCTTAAAATGTTTTGAAGTTATTATCATACTTTAAGCATTATTGCTACTTTTGTGGTATTATTGTAAGGTTTGATGTAACATAAGATTGATACTAAGACATTATTGACACAAAGCAGGAGACATGATTGGGACTTAACCATTATGACTTGAAAGGAATCTGTATGGAATATGTTAAATTATTGATGAATCCAATGACTTAAATTAATCCTTTAATAACCCATAAATTCAATTTTCCCCACTACATTCTCAATCTCAACACCATCTTTATTCAATTTTTGTTTTCTTTTTTGAATAAGTTCTAATATATACATACATATATATATATATATATATATTTTGTTGAAAATATAAAAATATGTTATTAATTAGCACATAAAATATATTTTCTAGGTAATTTAACATATGATTTCCGTTCTACGTTTAAAGATAAGTTTTTATTTAATCCATAAATTTTAGAAATCGACTATCTTTAATTGATTAATAAGGGCCCATGAGCCATTAGATGACAACTAATGAGAAGACGATTTGACTATTAACGTACCCACTAAATTTGTTGACATGATTTATTATTACCTAAAATTCTCGATGATGAACGAAAAATGTGTTGATTTTTATCACCAAAATATCTTGGGGTCGTTAGTCAATGGAGGGAGGACTATCCGTTCCTTAAACTTCAAAAACTAAATAGAAACTTAGCTATTACCAATCTCGAGAACCAAATATATATAGAACCCTAAAATTTAGAAGAAGAAGGTAGAGGCAAATTCTTTCTTTCAAAGATCACTAATTGAACACAAATAAATACAAAAATGAAAAAAATAAAAAAAATGGTCAATCTAAGCTAAGCAAATGAAAGAAAGAAGTCGATATTATTCTAAATGCACCGTTCTCAGATTTACACTCCAAAAATCGTGGAACTTAATTCACACAGCTTGAATTGGAGTTCTTTGCCTCTTAGAACTCCTCCTCTTCTCCACAAATATTGGAGCCGTCACTAAATCTTCTTCCTCCTCAGCCGCCACCGCCGCCACAAACGGCACAAACATCAGCATCTCAGCCGTGAATCTAAACTCCGGCTTCCTCACAAAACAACTCCTCAAAAAGCCTCTCGCCTCCTCCGACAACCCTTTGGGAATCATCGGCATCCCGTCCTTCTCTATAATATATTTCCCAATCCCGTCCCACCACGGACGGTTACCAGTGAGCATTTCGAGCACGACACAGCCGAGTGCCCAAATATCACTCGGCGATTCTTGCACGTTGTCGATCAACATCTCCGGCGCCATACACATCAATGTTCCTCCCAAACAATACCCTTGCTTTGTCTTGCTCATTCTCCTCGCCAACCCTAAATCGCCGATCTTTGCCTCAAATCGTGAATTCCTCGGCAGTAATAAGATATTCGCCGGCTTCAAATCACAATGAATGTATTGATTCTTATGAATATGAATTAAGCCTTTGATTATTGACCTTGTGTACCTCCGAACCTCTTCTTCCGGTAACCCTTTTCCACCTAATCAAATAAATATAAAATTTTAAAATTTTATATTCATAATTAAATAAAAAAATATATATGAACAAGACTCTCCTCAATAGTATGATATTGTCCATTGGTTGGATGATGAAAGTCTCACATCCGCTAATTTAGGGAATGATCATGGGTTTATAAACAAAAAAATACTCACTTCATTGTTACGAGGCCTTTTCGGGAAGCCCAAAGCAAAGCCATGAGAGCTTATGCTCAAAGTGGACAATATCATACAATTGTGGAGAGAGTAATCATGACAATTCTCTAAATTAGCAGACCAATTGCTACCTATGTTCTTGATTTGGTCGGCCAGGGTTACGGCAGGGGCGAATTCAGTTATAGCCTACCATTCTAATCGAGGAGGGGTTTTTGGAGTTAGCTCACCCTTGCGGGATCAGGACCGTTTGTCTCGGCCATTGTAGCACGTGTGTCACTCGGGGCATAAGGGGCATGATGACTTGATGTCATCCTCACCTCACCTTCCTCCGACTTATCACCCGTAGTCTGCTTAGGGTTCCAACCTCAACGGTTGGCAACTAAACACGAGGATTGCGCTCGTTGCGGGACTTAACCCAACACCTTACGGCACGAGTTGATGACAGTCATGCACCACATGTGTCCACGTTTCCGAAGGTACTCCCGGATTCGCAGCGTGACAGCACTGGGCATTTCTTGAAATGATGATAAATTGAATTGGGTGGAGGGATACTTGTCCATCTATTTCTAAAATTTCCCTTTTTTTTTTAATATTTAAATCATTTCCTTAAATTAATTCCTAAAATTTATAAATTATTTTCCTAACCAAGTTAGGGTTAAAGGTTAACTCTGGATTGGCGATGATATTTCAACAGTTTCATTTTATTTATTTATTTTTTTTTTTTTTGTGGGTATTTGCTATAACTCTGCTTCTTCACTTTCAATCTCAGCTCAGTTTCCTTTGATTTCCTATTATTTCTTCTGATTTCTGTGGCCTCCTTGATGATTTTGATTTTGATCGTTTTTTCTCTACGGATTGGTAAGTGTTTCTCTGTCTCGCAGTCGCACGATTTCATTGTTCGTTGATTTGGTTTAATTTCTGTTTTGCGACTCTGTATTTGTGCGGATTTTTGACTTTATTGACCTGTAATTGCTGCATTTCATTCATATTTGTCTCCGTTTGATGTTATTAATTGACTGATCTAGTAGAGCTGCATTGGATTTTGATTTGTTTTGTGATGAACCGTCCGCACGAAATCTGTTTTAAGTGAATCGGATGCTGTTCTTGGCGTTTTAAGTAGTGCAGTTTTGTTTTGACGATCTTTCGTTCGTGTTCGTTCATGAAATTTGATGTCTAGGTCTAATTTCCTTTTCCTTCTCTGTAGTTGAATGAGCTTTGTTCATTCGGATCTTTAACTGCACTTTGATTTCTCATGTACTCAAATATGTTTTCCTTTCTGCTTCAATATCATAAACTGATATTGATTAGTCCTTCCATGGCTCCCGGTCAGTTCTTGGCTCTCAAAACTGGGCTCACGCCAATTTTAAAAATCTTGAGGGGAAGTCGGAAAGGTAAAGCTTAAAGAGGATAGTACTACCAGCAGTGGGTTTGAGCTGTTACAATGTGCTAGTGAGGAGGCTGAGCCTCAAAGGGGTGAAAACATGAGGCGATGTGCCAGCAAGGACGCTGGGCCCTGAAGAGAGTGGATTGTGAGATCCCATATCATTTGGGGAGGAGAACAAAAACACTCTTATAAGAACGGAGGAAATACTAACTATAAACTCAAATCGGAGGAAATCAAGATAAATCATATCTTAATCCAAGTTCACCACTAGAAGATATTATTCTCTTTAAGTTTTTTCTTTCAAGTTTTCTCTCAAGATTTTTAAAACGTTTTTGCTAGGAAAGAAGTTTCCACACCTTTATAAAAAGTGCTTCGTTCCTGTTTACAACGGACGTAGGATCAAGAGTTACTTCAATCCCTTCTTGCTCGGTTTCTATCTTAATGTGAAGCAACTAAGCCTGAGAAAACCAAAAATTGATCCAAATCTCCAAAAAGCATCATAAGATTTCCCAATCAATCGTGAGAGAGTTCCACTTGTCTCTTTCAAGTTTGACGATGAGAGATCCCACCTAGATTAGGAGTAGAACGAAACATTCTTTGTAAGTGTATGGAAACCTTTCCATAAAAGACGCGTTTTAAAAATCTTAAGAAAAAACTCGAAAAATATCGTTCAAAGAAGACAATATCTGCTAGTGATGGAATTGGACTCTTACAAAAGATGTCGAGTTTGATCGCATCACTAAATTCCAACTTGGTCCAACTCCTACTTACATATTTAGCTTAAAACACAATCACTTCAGTTCAAACATAAAAGCTAATAGACTACACTCATTACCTCTAATAGACAGCCTAAGTCTCTATCTGTTTAGGTGTCAAACAAACACATTATTTCAAGTACTACGTGTTGTTGAAGAAATGATCCAGTGGGTCTTGTTGTTTTTCATAGTTGTCATTTGCTAAGTTTTGGACACACAATAGGGGTACACATTCACACACAATGGGGCCTCTATTCAACAACAACCGCCACAAAATTTATCAGAAAACCATAACGTCATTAGGAACTGCGATTCTACACAATGGTATGATATTGTCGGCTTTAAATATAAGCTTTCACAGCTTTATTTTGGATTTCTCTAAATTTAAAAATGTAAAACATTTGTGTTCGTATAAATCTCTAAACACACAAAATTGATTGTTGTCCACGTGTCATTAAAATGAGAATTTCATATCGATATGTTATTTATTTGAATGTGTTTTTTACGTCATTTTTACATACGTCATCTATTTATTTAATTAATGTTGTATATGTATGCAATTTTAGATGAGTAAGTTTTAATTTTGGTGGTATTTAAAAAATTAAAATTAGTTGCGTACTAAATATAATACAACTTTTACTAATTATTCTCGAGAGATAAACAGTAAAATATTAAAATATTCGTCGGGGATATTCTCTCGGAATTAGGAAATATTGGAAGGCGTGATAAAACAAAACCATACAAAATAATAATCCATCCAATTAAAAAGGAAAAAACAATTAAAAGAAATTAAAAGAGATAATGGGGCCCACATCAAGTAGATGACGACAAATATTTGCATCAAAACATCCACCATAACGCCAAATCTTAACCGTTGGATCATAACACGTGGTTTGATGTCGTTTTGTTCTGCCATTTATCTGCTTCGCGTCTCGGTGAACGCGACCACATCAAATACCCACAACTCCATGTTCATCCCTCTCTCTCTCTCTCTCTCTCTTCCTCTGTATGTGAAAATTCGAAGAGGATTCTTCACAGCGAAGGTTCGGCGAAGTTCTTCCCCGAATTCTCTCCAATGGCGCGCGATAATTCCGGTAAGCTAGATAGGATTCTGGAAGGCTTTTCTCCGGCGTCGGCTCCTCGAATTCAGTGGAAATCTCGCCGGAGATCAGGTAGTACTACTTAATTCTTCTCTCCGGTGGAATTTGGCTTCAATTTTTTAAAATTTTGTTAAGTCGATGAAGATCGGAAACTCGGAATTTCTCTATCGGAAAGTAATCGAATCCGTCTAGGTTTTGTAATTATCGATATAATCTGAGACGTTTCCTCACAAATTTTGAAGAACACTTCTGCCCTAACCAGGCTCCTCTGTTCTGATTCCTCATCTTTGGCTCTTGAATTGCTTTCGTGATTCCTTTGATGATGAATTCATTTGTCAGTTCGTCAATAGCCTTGAAATTGGAGATGAGAAAAGATGCACGCTAACACGAACGGTTAACTTCGCTCTTAAGTTACGTGTGCTTTTCTGTTTCTGTTCATGGCTGCCTCGTGATTTCTGTTACCAAAAAAAAAAAAAAAAAAATCAATACTCTTGATTTTTTTTTTCTTGTTAATTACTGAATTTTAGGCCCTGGAAATGATGATAAGGATTAATTTAATTGTTTTTTTTTAGTGATACAAATTAATTTTGTTTTTGTTTTTTTTTTTTTTTTGTGGTGATAAAATCGGCTGAACCAACCCATTTTTCCCCCCACCCACCCGTGGGAGTGAACGTTTTCATTGACTTTATTTATATATTCATTTATTCATTTTCCTCATTTATTTGATACGAAAGGCCATTATTGTCATCATATGGGGAATTATTAATTAAAATTGAATTTAGAAACTATTATTTCTTAAAACGACGTCGGAAAAGGGATCCTCCACCCCATAATAGAGCATGCCTTACAAGTCATGAGCTTTTTTGTTTGTTTTTAAATAATTTTTTATGCTTTTTTAAAAAAGTTTTTGTAATTTGATTTTTATTTTTATTCCTTATAAATTCATAATATTCTTCTTAATTAGTAGCGTAGGTGAGTGAGGATTGAATTACAGGATTGATCATTGGGATGCACCTTTCCATATATAGGAAATGTTTAAATGTGTCTAAATGGACATTGGATCCCTATTCCTACACTTGGATACTTTTCTCTAATATCAAGTTTGGTATTCAAATGATGGGACTCAACACCAACTATTTTAAGTTTTTTTTTTTTTTTTTTTTTTTGTTTTCATTAGGCCCACATTCAATTCTCAATTTCTTGTTGTCTTCTTCTCCTTCAAACTCAAGATTTCATGATTTCATGATTTGATGATTTCTTGTTACCATCCCATCTTCCCATTTCATTTCATTTATCATCATCATAATGTAATTTTTGTATGATTTATTATATTTTTTTAAGAGTTGCCTTTACTTTTCTCCTTTTCTCTTTCTTCTTGTTCATAGTTCACTGTTTCTCTCATTATTGTATCTTTGCTTTTAATATAATTTTCCCTTTTCTGATGGAAAGCATGGTTTGTTCATACTTTTCACAATTTGGTTATGTCAACCTCAATTAAATGTCTTTTTTTTTTTTCACTTTTGTTCTTCTAGCTTAGGGTTATCCTCTCACCCCAAACTATTTTTATTTTTAACAATTAAAAAAAAAAGTCCTATAAAACCGAGCAAAAAAATTTGTTGATGTCATTTTGGTCTCTAAACTTCAAATTTTGTTGTTAAGGGGTGGTGTAGTTGGCTAGTGCTAGGTCTCATAGCCTAGAGTTATCCTGAGGTCGGGAGTTTGAGCCTCTCACACCCCATTAGTATTTTTTTTAACAATTAAAAAAAACGTCCTATTGAACCTAGCTAAACATTTGTTTGTGTCATTTTGATCTCTAGACTTTAAAATTTTTCATCAGGGGGTGGTGGCGCAGTTGGCTAGTGCGTAGGTCTCATAGCTTAGAGTTATCCTGAGGTCGAGAGTTCAAGCCTCTCTCACCCCATGCTATTTTTATTTTTTAACAATGAAAAAAAACATCCTATAAAAACTAGCTAAACATTTGTTTGTGTCATTTTCATCTCTAGACTTTAAATTTTTTCGTTAGGGGTGGTGGCACAGTTGGCTAGCGCGTAGGTCTCATAGCTTAGAGTTATCCTGAGGTCGAGAGTTCGAGCCTCTCTCACCCCATAGTATTTTTCTTTTTTAACCACTAAAAAAACGTCCTATAAAACCTAGCTAAACATCTCTCACCCCATAGTATTTTTCTTTTTTAACCACTAAAAAAACGTCCTATAAAACCTAGCTAAACATTTGTTTGTGTTGGGGGTGGTGGCGCAGTTGGCTAGCGCGTAGGTCTCATAGCTTAGAGTTATCCTGAGGTCGAGAGTTCGAGCCTCTCTCACCCCATAGTATTTTTCTTTTTTAACCACTAAAAAAACGTCCTATAAAACCTAGCTAAACATTTGTTTGTGTCGGGGGTGGTGGCGCAGTTGGCTAGCGCGTAGGTCTCATAGCTTAGAGTTATCCTGAGGTCGAGAGTTCGAGCCTCTCTCACCCCATTTTATTTTTCTTTTTTAACCACTAAAAAAACGTCCTATAAAACCTAGCTAAACATTTGTTTGTGTCGGGGGTGTTGGCGCAGTTGGCTAGCGCGTAGGTCTCATAACTTAGAGTTATCCTGAGGTCGAGAGTTCGAACCCTCTCTCACCCCATAGTATTTTTCTTTTTTAACCACTAAAAAAACGTCCTATAAAACCTAGCTAAACATTTGTTTGTGTCGATCACTGAACTTCAAATATTTTCTTCAAGGGGTGGTGGCGCAGTTGGGTAGCGCGTAGGTCTCATAGCTTAGTGTTATCTTGAGGTCGAGAGTTTGAGCCTCTCTCACCCCGCAGTATTTTTCTTTTTAAACAATTAAAAACAAACGCATTTTGTTTGTGTCGTTTGATCTCTTTAGCTTCAAATTTTTTCATCAAGCATTTCTGTATTTGTTGTCCCTCTAATTTTGTTGGAACTAGAATGCTCTCTTCTTTCCAACAGCTACCGGGAGGATCTTAGACAACATAACTCAAGATCATGATGCTGCTGACAAAACATCCGACAAACACCAAGAACCTCAGCCCCCCAAAACACTCTTCCCCGACCTCTCCGACCGTCGAAAGGCCCTCTTTGAGCCTTTAGAATCCATCAAAAACATCAATGGCCGCAGGCCATCAGCTGAATCCTTACTCCCTCCACCCGACTTCGACGCCACCGCATATCCCCGAGGCTGGCTGATCGGAAAGAAGCGAAAACTCGTCAATGTCGACGTTGTCGAAAGCATGCGGAGGATTGCCATTCAAGAAATGAACAGAAAGGCATTCTCCTAATTTTACTATTATTATTACATCACATCAACGTGGCCTCTCAGTTCACTGTTGTCGTTGTTGTTGTTATTATAGGACCGAGAAATCGACGGTCTGAACGAGCAGCTCGACGAGGACGCGCGCTGCTTAGAACATCTTCAAATTCAACTTCTGCAAGAGAAGAGCAAAAGATCAGAGGTTGAAAGGGAAAATGCAATGCTGCATGATCAAGTAAGTATGCTAATGAGCATGCTGGAAAATGAAGGAGCTGATGGCTCAGATGAACCTTAAAATTCTATTATCATATACTTTATTTGTTTCTTTTAAATTTTTTTTTTTTTTTTTTTTTTTTTTTTTTTTTTTTTGTAGATTATAATTTGGTTTGGTTGGCAGATAAATTTTTAATTATTTTAAATATCCATGAAAATACATGCATCCCTAAGTATTGCATGGATATGGTAAATGTTTTTTTTTTCTTTTATATTTATCTATAATTAATTTTGTGGTCGACGTGGACGTACAAGAACCTCACATTTTCCCAAAACAGAATTATTAATTAGAAATGGTAAGTACACGAACACGCGGCTGTTATTCCAGGCAACCCCACGTGCAGATCACATGTCGGGGAACAATCAAGTGCTTAACAACTGGTACAAGCGGCGTTGACGTTATCCGTAAAGTTTCGGATAAACACTGGGCCCCGCCCACCTTTATTCTTCATCCTTTTCCGTTCTTTCTTTCCATAATTTCCACTTTCTTACGTGTCACTACAGATGTCAGGAGATTTGACACGTAATCTTCCACTCCCCACGTGGCAAGTAGTTAGCTCCTACCCGTACTATGCCAAAACTTAAAATATTAATAATACAAAACCGTTCCATGTGATGGAAAATAGAATCGCATTTAAGCAATATTGAATTTATTTTTATTAACTTTTTGTTAAAATATGTTTAAATTCTTAAGCTTGAGTTAATTACTTCACATAAATTTAATGACAAAATCATATTATTTATTTTTAATTATTCAAAGATATCTGGTTGAAATTAATTATGAGAGAGTTAAAATTATTTGAAAATCCCATCTCTTATTTTTTTCAAATGGATTAGTTGAATGCAACCATATTTTTTACACAGATAATTAGAGATAATGATGTGATAAATAGAGATTAAGAAGAAGAATTGGTTGAATTAAGAGAGTAAAAAAGGGGTTATTAATAGTTAATAGAATAAGGAGCGATAATAATAGTAAATTAAAGAGGGATTAGAGCATTATAAATGCAGGTTGAAAGGGTAATTTTTTTATGATGCACAAAAGTGAGGGCTACACAAAGGTCAGCCCTCCATCTTTTGTTCCCATCCTAAACAAACCCTTCACTTCTCATCTCCCCATGGAGACTACAAGATCCCTGCATCCCCTTCTTCTTCTTCCTCTTCTTTTCGTCCTCGTTGACGCTCGTTCGAGCTCGATCGACGCCGTTAGTGCCTTTCACCAGACGCTTGTTCTTAATGGGCAGAAACTTCCATTGATGGATATGAAAATACCCGCAACTGAGTGCATCTTTCACAACCCAAGTCAGTGTTCTTCCCAAAAAATGGGGGGAAATCTCTTAATTGAAGTTTAATTATGTGTTGATTGTGATTAATCAATTGGGATCTGTTTTTCTTTTTTCTCTGCTTTTGGTATGATTTTGGGCTTTTTGTTTTTAATATTTTCTTTATTAAAAGATTTATATTGGGTTTAATTTCATTTTTGGGATTTTATATATATATATTTTTTTTTCTTTTTTTCCCTACAATTTTTTTTAGTAAAGACATTATAAATATTGAAAATTTTTTATCTACTAAATTTCCAAATTCTCCAGATTTTACCTCAACCATTTAATTCAATGATTTAATGAATAAAATATTATAATTATTTTAATTTTTTAATTGAAATTTTAAATGTAAATATATATATATTTTTTCTTTTTTTTTTTGTGCCAGTTTTGCATACCTACTGAATCCAATTTTATTAAAAAAAAAAAAAATTATTGACACAATTTTATTAAAAAATAATAGAAATTTTAAATCAAATTTAGATTATTATGTATATCAAATTAAAATTAATACATTATTATTAGTAAAAACGACCAAAAAAAACGCGTATTGATATAGATATACATATAGTTTTCTAGAACGCGTGTTGATATTGATATACATATATGTAGTATTTGTTTAAATTTTATAATTTTTGTAATTGATAATTGTGACGGAATTATTGGAATTTTGAATTTACAGGAGTGGAGAAGGAAACAGCGACCTTTGAAATGAAAGAAAGAGACTACTGTTCAGGCAATATAAAAGACCGGGACAAGAATCTCCAAGACCGCCTAGTCCTCGACCAAATTCACGTCGACTCCCTGCTATCCCGATTCAAATACTCCACTTCCCTCTTCACCCCCCACGACATCTCCGACACCCACCTCCCCTTAACCCTCGGCACCAGCCTCCAAACCCTCAACTACCTCGTCACCGTCCGCATCGGCCCTCAAAACCTAACCCTCATCGTCGACACCGGCAGCGACCTCACCTGGGTCCAATGCCTCCCTTGCCACCTCTGTTACAACCAACAACAACCCCTCTTCGATCCCTCAAACTCCCCTTCATTTCTCTCCCTCCCCTGTAACTCCAGCAACTGTTCTGCTTTCCAACCCACAGCTGGAGGCTCCGGCGCTTGTACCAACGGCAGTTCAAATCCCTGCGATTACGAGGTTAACTACGGCGACGGCTCTTACTCCCGTGGAGACCTCGGATTTGAAACCCTGAACCTGGGGAATGTTTCCGTTGAGAATTTTATATTTGGGTGTGGCCGGAATAACAAGGGCTTGTTCGGTGGAACCTCCGGATTAATGGGTTTTGGTAGAAGCGAACTCTCCGTTGTTTCTCAAACTTCCTCTGCTTACGGCGGCGTTTTTTCCTACTGTTTGCCGTCGACTGAAACCGGTTCTTCAGGTTCTTTAACAATGGGGACTGGAGATTTCTCAAATTTCCGAAACATTTCCCCAATTTCCTACACGAAAATGGTTCCAAATCCACAGATGTCGAATTTCTACACACTGAATCTGACCGGAATTACCGTTGGTGGGTTGAAATTAGTGGTGCCGCGTTTGGCTCCGAGTAAGGGAGTTTTGAGCTTACTCGATTCAGGGACGGTGATTACCAGGTTGCCTCCGTCGGTATACCAAGCTTTGAAGGAGGAATTTGTGAGGCAATTTTCTGGGTATCCAACGGCGGCTGGATACTCGCTGTTGGACACGTGTTATAATCTTAGTGGGTTGAAAGAAGTGAAAACTCCGAATGTGAAGCTTCATTTTGAAGGCGAGGGAGAGATGAGTGTGGATGTTGGGGGGCTTTTTTACTATGTGAAATCTGATGGGTCTCAGATTTGTTTGGCGTTTGCGAGTTTGGCGGATGAAGATCAGATTGGGATTATTGGGAGTTATCAGCAGAAGAATCAGAGGGTTATTTATAATTTGAAGGAATCCAAGGTGGGTTTTGCAGGTGAGCGTTGCAGTTTCTAGCTCTGTTGGGAGAGATTTTCCCGGGAAAGTTGGAATGGATTTTCCCGGGAAAGTTGGAATGGATTTTCCCGGGAAAGTTGGGGTGGAGAAACGGGGCTTGTTGTTGTACTGTTGTAAAGGGTGGGGAGAATTTGGGTTTCTATATATTTCATTTTTTACTCTCTAAATCTGAATTCAAATATTAAATTAAAATCTGGAACTACTAGTTAGGGGTTTTTTTGTCTTTTTGTTGTGATCCATATAGTTAGGGGTATTTTCGTCCTTTTGTCATGGTCAAGTAGCATCTAGTTTTTTTTTTTTTTTTTTTTTTATCGTCCAAATTTATATAATTNTCTTTAAAAAATTTCTCTATCCTCGTTTTCTAGAGCCTTCTTCTTAAATCGAGACTAGAGGCTTGAACGTACGGCTAACATAATAACGAATTGACTTAGCTCACAATATATAACTCAGAAACGTATAGTACTCTATTCAGTAATTCTCATATGGCACATATGGCTTCCTCTCCTTTGCCTTTCTCCCATCAATCAATACTACTAAGCGAAGAATTGGAAATTTCCAATTTTTTTTTTTTTTTTTTTTATGAAAATGGTGGAAAAAAAATAAGAGAGATTTAGTTAGGGGTATTTTCATCCTTTTATTATTTTCAATTAATTTATTAAATGAGTAATTTAAATTTAAAATAAAAACATTAATTACTCAAATTTGTATTTCTAATTAGAAGACCTTAATTAAATTATATCAAGCCAAGAGTAGATAAATGAAAAAATAATAATAAATAATTATGAAAAATCATATCTAACTAAATAATTAAAAGGAGGGCTATAGAAACTGATTTCCTCTTTACGGCAAAGTATTTAATAAAATTATTATGTCTATTTTTTAATAATGTAATTTAAAAGAGAATATATATTAAATTTATTAAATACAAAAATACAAACAAACAACTTCCATTTGTCTCCCTAAATATTTTCTTACCATTTCTTTTCTCCCTTTCCTTTAAAATTGCGGTTTTCCATTGGACGAATCGGTCATTTCGTCTCTCTCTCTCTCTCGTTCTTCCTCTTCTTCGCGCACTTCCCTCTTACCACTCCACCTCCTCTGCTCGTTTCAATGGCGAAGATCTCACACTCACCCCACAAAATTTCCATTTCCACCACCGCTGATCCATCTCACTCTTCTCCAATCCATCAGAGCAAGGCTCTCAAGCGCACGCGTAAGTCCGTTCGTCGTGATGCTCCCGCTCAGCGTAGTTCTGTATACCGCGGCGTCACCAGGTTAGATTAGCCTTTGTTGATTTGGTTGAAGTCGAATGAATCGATTGATTTGAGTTCTCTCTGTTTTCTATGTTTTTTTTTTCTTTTGCTTGAATCTATTTGGTTTGCTTTAGGCATAGATGGACGGGACGGTATGAGGCGCACCTGTGGGATAAGAATTCTTGGAATGAAGGACAGAATAAGAAAGGAAGACAAGGTTCTGTAGTTATCTGTTTGTTTTTTCTTTTTGAATCTGTAAGTTGAGGCGATTCTAATTTTTTTGTTCTTTGTTCTTTTGATTCATGCCTCTGTATTGCTGTGCGTGGCTTATTGATGAAATTTTGAATCGAAACGCGCAGTGTATTTAGGTATGGTCTGCGATTGGAACTTGAACTTGTGATTTAATGTTGAAACAGAGCTATCGATCGGGTTAAGTATGTGTGCTATTGTTTACTTCTGATCTACAGGAGCGTACGATGATGAAGAAGCGGCGGCTCATGCTTACGACCTTGCAGCGCTCAAGTACTGGGGAGCAGAAACTGTTATTAACTTTCCAGTAATTTTCCAATCGATTGATCGTTGTTCTGCACTCACTTGTTTTTCTTTTGGCTATGGAAATTAAGAAATTTGTTGAAGCTGTGTTCATTCTCTGATTTGATCATTTGCAGCGATTAACATACCAAGACGAGCTTAAAGAAATGGAAGGCCAATCAAGAGAAGAGTATATTAGATATTTGAGAAGGTAATAACCATTTTATTCTCATCTTAAACTTCAAAATAGAATCCTTATCCATTTTTATGAGTTCAATTAACAGGAAGAGTAGCGGCTTTTCTCGCGGTGTTTCAAAGTACAGAGGTGTAGCAAGGTACCTAACCTCGATCACATTAAAGTTTAGAGCTACAATTTTATTCAACGAAAACATGTTCATATATAAATAAATACATGTGACACTGTTTTGCCTACTATTTTAACAAGTAATCTAAGTTCGTTATACCATTGTTTACTTAACCTTCAATTTTGTTCATGAGATTATGGTTCTTAAATCTAGTTTATAGTATCAAAGGTATTGCAATTAGTAAATTTGTTGCTTCTGGCAGACAATCTTATGCATCAAACACTAATTTCATACCTTACTCCTAAGTCAAACACTCCCTATTACCTACTTATACTTACCCTTCATACACATATATGAAACACATGTGATGTGTTGCGTGTGAAGGTTTCTTTCTTAACTTTCTTCGTCGCCATTTTCGGGTTTGTTTTAGCCATCAATTTGGGAAATATCTCTTTCCACTTACAGTAGGGACAATTAATGATATCACCATTCAACCACTACTAACCCACTGGGAAGGAGGGGAAGAACATTTCCATATGTGCATAGTGTTTTTTTATTTTCTTAATTTATATTCTTGATTTTATTTTTCTCAATCTTTTTATTATGTCGTGGCAATTGATATGCAAATACCTTAAATGTTCAAATACTTTTTATCTTTGTAATTATGAGAAATAAAAAAACAGGGAAATGCAGGCACGTGGCTACGGGTATGTAACACAATTTTCTTTGGTCAAAGCTGCTTTAAGGAGCAATTATCATAATTCTTTTTCCACATTTGAATTATTGAATGATAAAGATAATGAATTTATTATTTCAGCATAAAATTTATACAACTCGTAGAAATAGGAGTAGTTTTAGTTTAATTGAAGAAATTGAATAGTTAAACCATATTTCTGCTTCTGAAGATAGAATCCGTTACCATTTTTGGGAGTGTTGAGGATTATTGGGAGTGTGTCCCACATCGGTTAATTTAATGGAAAGTCATGAGTTTTAAGTGGTGAATACTATCCCCATTGGTATGAGGTGTTTTGGGGAAGCCCAGAGCAAAGCTATGAGAACTTGTGTTTGAAGTGGACAATATCATAACACAATTCCTAATAGGAAATTATAATGCATTTACTTTTTTTTTTTTTTTTTTTTTTTTTTTTTTTTTTTTTTTTTTTTTTTTTTTTTTTTTTTTTT